TTTTTGTAGTTTAACTATATTGTGCACTCTTTGGTTGTATAATTCTTCTTGCAAAATGCATTTTTTTATTGTCAGGTTTCAGGGCTTTATTTTTCTTTGATGGTGCTTTGAGTCAATATTCCTGTAGAACTTATGATTTATTCTCAATTGTAAATTTTGTTTGCATAGGTTTATGCGCCTTGATTTTTCATGACATGCCACAATTTTCAGTTTCAGTTTCTTGAACTTCACCTGTGCTTTTGGTTCTGATATCATATTACATTTTTAGATCCAGTTTCAGCTTTTCAGTTTTTATTAGGTTTTTAAACTGTCCTCATTATTTTTACAAATCTTAGTTTTAAGTTTTTTCAAATTGTTTAGATTCAAAATTTTGAATATATTAAAAGTTTTTAACATTTCCTCTAAAGCTATTTTTGCTGTGTTCTTATTAAATGCTTTTATTAAACTTTTTCTGACACAGTTTGTGCTCTTTTGTTATCTTCATTAGGTTCGAGTTTTCATTTCCTAAGGAAAGCTTTCTTCATTTTACAGCTCTCTAGACCAGTGGTGGCAAACCTATGGCACGGGTGCCAGAGGCGGCACTCAGAGCCCTCTCTGTGGTCACGCGCGCCGTCCCCCCAGTCCTAGGCCTTCAGCTGGATTTTATAAAACCTTTTCACTTTAGGCCTCCGCTGACGTGTGGGGGAAAAAAAGGTTTAATCAATCAGTCAATTTCAACTTCTCGCAGGGGAAAAAAAGATCTTGCAAAGTTGGGATTGATTGAACTTTTTAGTCCCACTCAGTCTGCCGTTACCACCGCAGCTACCCCCACCCAATGAGCCACCACCCAATGGGCCACACCCACCCAATGGGCCACACCCACCCGGCACCCGACGATGCATAAGTGGGTTTTGGGTTGCAGTTTGGGCACTCGGTCTCTAAAAGGTTCGCCATCACTTCTCTAGACCCTATTGAAGTGATATGCTGTGCTGTTCCTTCTTTTGTTTGATCCTTTTGTACCTTATGGAATACATTCAACATCCGTTTCAATTATTGTTATTTTAAATAAATCTGAGCATTATGAAGATGCTATCTTGCGGCAAGATCATGGCCACCATTTAAGATTAAAGCTAGGATTAATAAATCTGATCAGATGAGCATATTCTTACCTCGAGTGGTGGCACAGTGTTTTGAATATAGTATTGCAGGCTAACTTTGCTCATAGCCAGGAGTTCAATCCTGACCAGCTCAAGATTGACTCAGCCTTCCATCCTTCTGAGGTAAAATGAGGACCCAGATTGTTGGGGGCTATATGCTGACTATGTAAACCGCCCAGAGAGCACTACAGAGCAGTATATAAGTCTAAGTGCTATTGCTATTTGTAGACAACATCTGCCACCTTTAATTATTATCTGAAGGATACATTCTTTCAATGTTTGCTAGTTATAAAGAATGTATGCAGGATACATAAAGTTCATATCCAGACGTTATATTCCACTGATTCACCGCATTCCATTAGATTTCTAGTAAACCCTCTTGTTATTAATGAAAAGTTACAAGCAGGCATTTACAATCAGTCGATGAAAATACTAGATTGGTGAAGACAATCACCCCCATCAAGAAAATGAGAAACTGCTTGTCACACAGACAAGAAATACTTCAGTTTCCCCCTTTTAAAATTTAAGGCTATTTCAAAACTAAGAGAATTCAAAGACCTCAGCTAGAAGAAGAAAACAGTTATTAAGGCTGGCAAAAAGCCTGGGATTCTTTCCACTTTACCAGCAATCTCAGAATTAATACTGAAATCTCCAGGAAGCAAAAAGTCCAGGAATAATCGAGACAAAAGGAATATCTGTTCAGATTTTTTTATTTTTATCAAATTTATGTTAATAAAATGCTTTTGGAGTAAAAATCTATCTAAAGACAGTTTTATATTTAAGATACATTAATAATTTAGTTTATTCAGCATGAAATGGAGCTTAGTTATGTAGCATGAGGCTGTATATTCTGCAATATTTACATTTTTGGTAAACTTATTCAATGAATTCAAGCTCTACAAACTGAGATAACATGCACTGCATTGATGCATTCACACAATTTCCTAGTAACTATGAGATAAATCATAAAACAAAGTTCAGGAATATTCCTTTATCCCATTGCTTTGCAAATCTATGTACACTACAAACTGTATGATTGTTTGAAAAGAAATGCATCTGTACCAGGCTCTAAGTGTTTTAATTAAATAAAATAATTTGAGTAGTTCTCTAACTATGTGTCATTAACCTATTAACCTAAAATTGATTCTGATATTGCTGTTCTACTAACCTGACAGCTTATTATTCTAAATAGGAAACTTTCATTTTGTTTGCAAATAATATTAAAGATTCTAACTACCAGCAAGAATGAGTCCTTACATTTAAAGAGCACCTGTCATTTCAGATCTATCATGGCAGCGCCTGTTAGCAGGCATCCACTCACCTGCTGCCCGCCACGTCCCTCACCTTGGTGTGTCACTGCTATATCACCAACTGTCCCATTAAAGTGAATGGGACTGATGGTGAGTCAACAACAGATCAGAGGAGCTACTGCGGGATGGAGATGACAGTTGCTCTTTAAAAATTATGATTTAAATCAAATTGATTTAAATCAAGCCTTTTTACTAGTGATTTAAATCATGATTTAAATCGTGATTTAAATAAACTTGATTTAAATCAAATCCACCTTGGCCTAAACTGATGTATTTAATTAGTAATTAAATTATTTTAGTAATTGCTAAACTTTTTATATAAACACACTTCATATGAGTTATAACAATAAAGAGTTTATGCAGGCTAACACAGAACGGATGTTAATGAACTTTGCAGCATACAGATTTTAACATTCAAGTCATTTTAAACTTAGAAGACATGACTTGATACTATTTCCCAAAACATTTTGTATTGTTAGCATCCAATAATCTAACAAATATATTTGTATTTAGAAAAACTCAGGATGGTGACTTGGTAAAACTTCAGTAGTTGTTCCCCATTCTCACTTCAGTATACATTTATGTTCAACTGCTACAATATTACATTTAGAAGTTTTTTAAATCATTTCAAATTTAATATACTTAAGCTAATGATTTTCTATTAAAGAATACTTTAATCCTTTTTTGTATCTCTGCTTTTGAAGTCATTGATACATGATTTTGTTTGTACGCCTAAATTACATAGGCACATTCCAATTTTGAAGCCATATCTACAAAATCTCTGTATGTTGATTCCTATAAATAAGAATAATCCCTAATTTATTATATTAAACTGTAAAGGAGCAATTCCAAATAAGTAACATCTACAAATTAAATCCTTCCCTGAAACAATACCAACTTATGAAAAGAACAAAACATCATTAACAGTAAATGAAAGTGTCATGTGGGAAAGCATAAGCACACAGGAAATATTTTTTATTCTATATAAATATCTGTTATATTTAAAATCATACTAGGTAGTAATGAAATTAAGAACCAGATGGTAAAATATGCTACCATATGGTAAGCTGATTGCCTATAAGAATGGGATAAATTGTTTTAGTTTGTGGCAAAAATAATAACTTTAACTGAGGAATGTTTGTCACACAAACATCATTACCTCATTCTGCTTCCCCCCAGTAGTAAATTTTAGATTGAGAGGATCCACTCTGTTTTCTCTCATCTAACTTTTTAAAGACAACCAACTGTTTTAAGAGTTAGAAAGCATGTGTGCTTTTAAGCCTTAAAGTCTTTAAAAAAAACCAGAAACCTGAAGATAGCAATGCGGTTTATTCTCCCAACACATCCACATAACAATTTCCTAATTGTTTAAAGTCATATCAATAACTACATTAAAAGAACCAGAGCAACTATATTTGTTTCAAAACTTTAACCTCTAGTCAAGACTTTCAACAAGTTTAAATATATTTATCCATGTTGCAGTATTTACCCTAGTCATTGATATTCATCCCCTATCCCAAAAGCCATTTATTTTCCCACTGTAACATATACAATAGCTGAATATGTTTCATTTACAAACATCTGTTTGGACCAATTAAGAATTCTGGCACAATACATCATCTCCTAGTTCAAGGAACAGATAATAATCTCACTATTAACTGAAATCAAAATAAATCTTAATTAGAAACAAGGCACTACCTAAGTGAACTTTAGATCACCTTTCATCCCTTGACAAAACTGGCAACTGAATACAGTAAGCCTAGAGAAGACTTAATTTATATGTATGCCTGAATGCCTCTCTTGATATCTATCTATCTATCTATCTATCTATCTATCTATCTATCTATCTATCTATCTATCTATATATATATATATATATATATATATATTTCTAATAACATTAAAACTAAAACAGTGACTCCTGGGTATAATCATCTTCCCAAAAACAAACTGTGAACACCAGGAGTATATCAAACTATAAAAAGTGTAATAACATAAAACATATGTTTTATGTTTTATGTTATTAAACTTTTTATAGTTTGATATACTCCTGGTGTTCACAGTTTGTTTTTGGGAAGATATATATATATATATATAGACACATACATACATTTCTTTTTCTGAAAAAGTAATGCACGAGGTCCTGTCGCAGATCGTGACTTTACAACATCCTCCCTTAAGCGAAGTGACAAAGTAAGGAAAGCTCTCCAACAAGTGTAACACGCCTCAGGGCTTCACTTGCCAAGTCTTTTTCAGACGGAGAAACTCTGACCTTCTTACCACTACCAAATCTTTGGGGTCTTTCGTTCCTGCGTTCATAATTCATCACGAATTCCTTAATGTCAAGTCAAGTCGAAGAAGCCTCTCAAGGCCTCTGGAAAGGAGGTTCGCGGACCTGCCGAAGTCGGGAGCGGGTCACCGACAAGAAACGTTTTGGGACCGGAACGCGGCGCGCGCGCCCAAGGAAGCAGTATAACACCCTCGGGGGGAGTGGGAGGGGAACAAACCAAGCGCTCCGAGTCCGAACCGTCCCAGTCCCCTCGCTCCAACTCACCTCGCTTGCTGGGCCGGCCAAGAGCCCCGTCGCCGGAGCTTCCCCGCCTACCCTTGTGGGGCTTCTCCCCAGAGGAACGGCCAGGCTCCGAATCCCCACTGTCCGGACGGTGCCGGTGTCGGTGGTGATGTCGCCGCTCGCAGTGCAGGGCCTGCGCGGGCAGGCTAAGCGGAGAGAAAGTGAAAAGCCCAGCGGGGGCGGAAGGCACGGCAGGAGTCGCTGGGAGGCCGGGGACGGAGGCCGGCGGCAGCGGCTCTGCCTGAGAGGGCCTCACCGTAAGCGGGGGCTGGGTCAACTTCGCCCTCTTGCAGCTCCCGGCATCCCCGAGAGAACCTTTCCGCTTCCTCCCCCCTCCCCTCGGTCGACCAGGCCGGTCACCGAGTGGCAGCGAAGGCGTCTCTTCCGCGCCCCGGGCCACGGCGCGTACTGCGGCGACCTGCGCAGCCATTTCGCACTCTCCCTCACACACATTTAAATGGCCCGAGCGCCTGTAAACGCTGCGCAGGCGTCGCTTGTCACTCTCTGGGAATTGTGGTCCAGTATTGCACGTCGGGATCTGTAGTTTTCGTTAACTGAACGTGTGCTTGTTTATGCGAAGGTTGCTGGGAAATGAAGTTTTCGTTCCAGCTTTCAGTAGTTTTCCACGAAGAAGAGCGTGCAGGCAGTCACGCAGTACGGCCACATCACGTAGACCTTGGGCTTCCGCCGGGGGGCGGAGGGAAGTGGGGGTAAATTTCAGTCGTGCGTGAGTGGGCGGGGGAATCCCGATGTCTTAATGGAGTGTGCGTATTAGTTCAGTTTTGGATTCGCTTTTCTATGCCGAGATTAGATACTGGGAATTATAATCTAGTGTTATCAAAGATAGGATTTCTAAGCACGTGCAGAGTGCGTGTTATCGCCGTTAATATATGTAATTCAGATCACGGCTTCCATTTCATAGGGGACTGATTAGTCAAGTGTTTATATGTGCTTAAAACCAGCCACAGGAACATGTATGGTGTAAATGTATAAAGTGCTAAAAATGCCAAAGTCCTGCGTGTTATTAAAATAAACAGCACTTTGGAAAGTTTCGATAGTCGAACGATTACAATCTTTTTTTGCCGAGGCTAGGAATGAGGCTCAGGCTGCTTTATGTTATTTGTTTTATGCTTGGCTATGGCAGTTGAATAACTGGATGAAAACTAATAGATTTCCGTGAAATTAGAAATATAATTAGAAAAGGCCAACCAAACCTCAAAAGTTAAGCTTTTGACTGGCTTACAGCTCTTCTCTGTAATTATTAATAGCTTTCCTCAATTTCCTGGTTGGGTTGGATGTTCTTTGCTACAGTGTTAAAGATCTCCCCATACGCAGTGAGGTACGTATGTCTGGTAGCAGATGTTTTGATGAATATTTTAAGTTTATTGTGCACATTCTGCAATTTATTCTGCCTTAATGTCATGATTTAAAGTCTGCTGCTTGCTTTTCACTTAATTCCCACAGCACTGTCTCATTTTTCATCTCTTCTCCTCTTTCCTACTATCTTCTCCTCAATTCCTTTTGATTTATCAGTTGTTGTTTGTAACTTGTGATTAATGATTCTAAACTACGATTTATGATCTATGACCTATTACTTGTTGTTTATATGTACACTGTGAGCTTATGCACCAAAGATAAATTCCTTGTGTGTCCAATGACACTTGGCCAATGAAGAATTCTATTCTATTCTGTTCTGTTCTGTTCTTATTCTGTCCTATCCTATTCTATCCTAGAAATTTATTCTTCTTCCTTAAAACTTTCCAAAATGAAGTTACTTTTTCAGCCATCTCCAGAACATTTGAACTTAATGCATTCTCAAAAGGCTATACATATTTCATAAATGGCAAAACAACAGTACTCAGACTGATATATGTAAGCCCAATACAATTCTGATGCAAATACATCTGGGATAACAATATAGCAGGAAAACCGTGGTAGTCTGCAGTGACAAAAAAAAATCAGGTGAATCATGTGGTTTGATTGTAATTTAAACTGAGATGGGGAGGAGATCTGTTTCACATGTAACATGCACTGCACAATCAACCTGCCTTTCCCCACATTCAATGTAGCCATTCTATGCATCTGATAAATTGAACAGCAGCTCATGAAAGCTTACGCCTTTTAATAAGATTTGTTAATTGGAAAAGGTGCTACCAGATGCCTAAAACAGTTTCTCATGAAATTAAAAGACACTTTTAATACCTAAAAAATTACAGAAATTAATGGAAATGTATGGACTGAGTGATATTTGAGAGATGATGAATCCCTCAATAGTAATATTTACTATTCAGGTAGCTACTCTTCTCATACTATTTAATCTTCAAATAGTAATTGCTCTCCAAAATCAAAATGGAACTCACAATCAAAACAAGTATTTTGATTTGACACATTACAAAATATCTTGAAAATAAATGAGTGAATAGAGGGCAACCCAAACTTTGCTCCTTGCTGGTGAAGAGCACTTCAGAATACAAAGCTCCTATTTCACTTACTCAAAAGAAATCACTTGGTATCAATTTTGAAAGTGTGCTCAAATGTCCACCAGCTGCAAATAGTACCCTTCCTGATAAATAATGGTTATTATAGTCAGATGTCTTTCCAATCTCTTATCTGTTTCAAAAGCAAGGGAAGCTGAAGTCCTATCTCCATGACAGTCATAGACCCAGAATATATGAATGACAAATGACATGCCTTTCTACTAAAAACCAAGTACCATTCTTGAACAGCAACACAATTTATATTTCTACAGTGGAAGACTTAAGATAACACCATAAGACACTGCGGTTACTTGAACCTTAGCATTTATTTTTTGTTCATCTCAATATGTTGTTTGTTCCAAACTTTTACCTGATGTTGTCTGATGGAAAAAAATATTGGAAGTAGCACAACACCTCTCTGATCCCATTTCCTCAGCATGACATGTAGTTCAGATCAGATAGACAGATGAGATTATATATTAATTTTATGAGGAACATGCAGCACACAAGGCTAAATACCCTTAAAAAAGTCTTTTTGTTCAGAATGATGCTGTTTATTTGAAACAAACAGGAGAAACTTCAGCAAGGCAAGTCAACAGGACTAGAGCCATAGAAAATAAGAAATTCTTCTAAATATTCCAATTTGGTGGTGGATTTCTTGGTCCTTTGGGTTTGGAAAATCGGTTTGCAAAGCCTATGACACAAAATTAAAAAACTGTTAAGCATTACTGTCGTATTTTATCTCAAAATAAATCTTCAGTGAGTCTGAAGCAAAAACTTACTGGGTATGCATGTCACCGAGAGAAACTATGTGATAGACAGGGCAGTTATTCCAAACAAATACTTTGACAACTGTAGTAATTATTTTTCACCATAAAGCAATCAAGTAATTTTTAAAATCGAAGCTAAGCAATAAATGTATAATATGTTCTTCTAGTACAGATACTAAATAAATTTAAAATGCTTAAATGTAGCAATAATATTTGCATGTGGTGGTATAGGTTGGTGCTACCAATTTATTAAATTGTTTTATGTCTGTCTAATTATTATCTATCATCATCATCTCTGTCTAGTGAAGTTGCTGAAAGTTGAGCATTCTTTCATTTAGGAGCTGAGAACAGATAGTCTTTGACTTATGGAGCCCAAAATTTCTGTTAAGTGAGACACTTGTTAAGTGAATTTTGCCCCATTTTATTACCTTTCTTGCTACAATTGTTAAGTGAATCACTATAGTTGATAAGTTAGTAACTCAGTTGTTAAGAGAATCTGGTTTTCCCATCGACTTTGCTTATCAGTAGGTCACAAAAGGTAATCATATGACCTTGGGACACAGCAATTGTCATCCATATGAGCCAGTTGCCAAGCATCTGAATTTGATCACATGTCTATGGGGATACTGCAAACATTATACTTGTGAAAAATGATCATAAATCACTTTTTTCAGGGCTGTTATAACTGAACAGTAACTAAATGAGCTGTTGTAAGTCGAGGACTACCTGTACATGATATTATTACCTATTTTTTCCCACAACAACAATGCTGTGAGGTAGATGATGTGGTTAAAGTGATTGGCTCAAAGTTACCCACTGGCTTTCTAAAGACGACTAGAAATTAGGTCTTCTTGGGCAAATATCACAAAATTTTGCACTATTTTCAGAAAGGATTTTTTTCTTCCTCCTGCCAACATGTCAATGCCATTTTTCCCTAGTTCTCAACATGTATTTTCCCATTTCAATTTAATCCTAGGTGTTTTCAGTCACTTTAAATTATTTGAGAAGGCTATCTAGCCATAAAATAAAACTGTTGGCACCAATTAAGATAAGAATTAGAAAATATACCATATTTACCATATTAAATTATACCATATTAAATATTTACCATACTTAATAAGTGTAAAAAGAATTCTGGCCATGCTTTGCAATGTTTGTATACATCCATATGATCCTATATATAGTAGGATGAGAAATTTTGGTGATCGCGTTACAAACTATCAACTGGAAAGTTGTAGTAATAGTTTTTGAGAATGCAAGAAAACATTAGGATCGGTAGTATTCTAATTTTGGACTTCAGTATTATTCTAGTAGTAAATTGAACATTGAAGCATATTTATTTTTAAAAATGCATACCAAAACTCAGAATAGAGTTGTGATGATTTGACTGATTATGTTCCGGAGCTCTTACTAGTGAAGGTGGGTTCCAAATACCTAAAAATTCAAAAATGTCTTTAGTAAGTCATAGTCTGATAAAGATAGATTTCTTGCATTGCAATGTGATTCCTGATGTAAGGGAAATCTTGCTTAAATTGGAATAGGAAAGATAAAAGAATATCCATTAATCTTACCACTCATTATGAATGCAATATTGTAAGCCATTGATATCTAATACTAGTGCTAGTGCTCTTTAGGTGTTCTATCCATTAACAATTGTTTATTTCATAATGACATGCTTGTGTAATTATGTAAAAGTTTACATGATAGAAGAAAGTGGACTTAGTCACATGGATTTTATCATAAGCAGGGAACAGAAGTTCTGGATGGCTCTTTTGAAGATCCATAGAAAAGGTTCCCCCATGTAATTAGATGAACCTCTAATAAATACTACTGAATTGGTTGTTATTGGATTTGAAAGTTGAGAGACTTTGCCAGTAAACCTACAATACCAAGCAGCTATATGACGTTTTCTCAAATCTGGCTCCGTGTAGACGTGTTAGAAATCATCGAATAGGGAAAAGGTGCTGTAGAACATTTCAGCTGCCACGGTTGGAATAGTATTTGAGGATTTTGTTAATAACCTATTATTGGTATAATAGTAATAATGGTGATGGTGATGATGATGATGATGATGGAATGGACCTTGGAGATCATCTAGTCCAACCCCCTGCTCAGGCAGGAAACTCTATACCATTTTAGACAAATGGCTATCCAGTCTCTTTTTAAACTTCCAGGGTTGGAGCATTCACAGCTTCCAGAGGCAGGTTGTTCCATTGATTAATTGTTCTAACTGTCAGGAATTTTTTCCTTAGTTCTAGGTGAGTGGTGGCAAACCTTTTAGAGACCGAGTGTCCAAAAACTGGCCCCACCCCCACTCCACCCCACCTGCCCGCCTCTGCTCTGCCCCCCCATCCCCCACCCTGCCTGCCCACAGGACCACTCACCGCCTCCAGGGCCCGCCACAGATCGCCCAGGCAGCGCTATGGCGGCCACACCCTCTGCCCGCGCCCTGCAGCATCAACTGCATGATGGGGTATGAGGGCAGCATCTTGTCTACGCTGCCTGGCTGCCATGTCCTTGGCTGCGCTGCTCTGTGTGGGCCACGCTCAAGGGCGAGTCGTCTTCAGGGGGTCTGCTAGAGAGGAGGGGATCGCGGGGGGAGGCAAGGCTGGGGCAACGGCCCTTGTGCCCACAGAGAGGGCTCCGAGTGCCGCCTCTGGCACCCATGCCATAGGTTCGCCACCACTGTTCTAGGTGCTTCTCTCTTTGGTTAGTTTCCATCTGTTGCTTCTTGTCCTTCAGGCGCTTTGGAAAATAGCTTGATTCCCTCTTCTATGTGGCAGCCCCTGAGACATTGGAACACTGCTATCATGTCACTCCTCATCCTTCTCTTCATTAAATTAGACATACCCAATTCCAGCAATCGTTCCTTATATGTTTTAGCCTTCAGTCCCCTAATTATCTTTGTTGCTCTTCTCTGTACCTTTCTAGAGTCTCAACATCTTTTTTACATCATGGTGACCAAAACTGGATGCAGTATTCCAAGTGTGGCCTTACCAAGGCATTGTAGAGTGGTATTAACACTTCACGTGATCTTGATTCTATCCCTCTGTTAATGCAGCCTAGCACTGTGTTGGCTTTTTTGGCAGCTGCAGCACACTGCTGGCTCATATTTAAATGATTGTCCACTAGGACTCTGAGATCCCTCTCACAGTTACTACTATTGAGCAAGTTGATTTTGATTTTTGATTTTTCTTGCCTAAATATATGTATAGCTTGTTTTTACATCCTTTTAAAGTATCTTACGTGGCCATACTCGGCCCAAAATTTATTAGCAACTAAAAATAGTAGAAGAACTATGGAATCCAGGAAGTCTTTGTCACTTAAACAGTGTTAAAGCCAAATTGTTTTATACTTCTTCCTTTCCAGAGGATCTAACGGCTCACAGGAGGGCATTTGATTGGTTTGCAAGTACATCTTGTGAACTCTCAACTGCTATTTGATGTTTTATCTGAAGCAATTGCCTACTGATCCCAGAAGCTTCTGACAGACTTCTGTCTCTTTAGCAATCTAGCGACTTTGGTATTATTCCTCTTTCATTTCATTTCATTAATCCTCTTGTTCCCAGGCCAAGCTTTCCAAGATAGTCATCTTTCTCTTTGTCAGACTTCAATGTACTGTTTTGATTTTTGCCTAAGTTTCATTGCAGCACCAAACAATCAGCAACATCTCCAAGAAGAGTAACAGTATTAATCCATGGCAGCAAGAATGTAACGATCACCTTAGAAATTAATTGTGGGTTAGTCAGGGGAAATGTAGGCAGAAGCCTGCATCATTAAATGCGTAGAGCAAAGCTTCAGAATCAGCATTCTTAAATGTATGGTTTAATGCCAAAGGTGCTTTCTCAAATAGGTCTAAAGAATCTGTCAGTTAGAATGTGTATGTGTTTATCATAATGGCCCCAATTCATACTGTAAATGTTGTAAGTTTTTAACTGCTAGATGGGAAATTTATACTGTGTTTTCAAGTTAAATTTCACTGGATAATTGCTGGCTATTTTCCTTTGGGATCTTTTATCTCTCACTGAAAGACATTGGGATTTGATAGTTGTTTTTTATTTATCCAGTAAACTATTCACTATCCTCGTCTATACTTATTAGGATAAGTATAGTGCTAATTGTTGCTTTCTTCAACATACTTACTGTTTTTCACATTTCGTAAAATTTTCAAACTCTGTAAAGAGAAAGTTTTAAGAAAAAATATTAAGAAAGCACTAATTATTAAAGATCATTAACACATTAACACTGTTAGAGCTCTAACAGTGTAAATATGGAAATAGAAGTGGCAATATGAATGCTGGCCATGACTATGAGAAAGGACACAATGACACTTGGGCCAATACAGAGAAGCAGATAACATAGCCTGTTCCTTCCTCGCTTTATGATTGTAGCAAGTCTGCTTTAAGAATATGAGTTATGTTCTAGGGCTAAAAACTTGATAAAGCCATTGTTGTGTGATCACAAACAATATTCCAACAGCTAGGGCCTACTAGTACACATTTAAGCTTCAAGTGAGGAAAGGACCTCAGTTTCATGTACCTGAATATAAAATATACTTTTCTTTCTTTCTTAAAGCACATCCAGTGCTATGAATGATCAATATTACAAGTTTCTTGGGAACGAGGTTAACCATCAAATGTCATTTTTTAAAAAATAAGGAATGAAATGGACTCTTTAAAAAGTATTGTTTTGGAAGACAGGAATTGAGTTGGGTTGGGCTTTTAATGCTGTAATTAGATTAGCCCAAGTTCATTGCTAAAATATGCTCTGATTTGTTGTTGTTATTATTGTCCTATTGTCCAACATTTTTACTCCCTATTTGGGGGTTATTTTTAATGACAAAAATCAGGTTAGATAGTTAAAACACAAACTAATGAATGAATTATTAAAAACACCACATGTTGTTGTTCACCAAGGGAATTACTGCAATCATTACTATTTTTTAAAAAAAGAAAATGCTACAAATAAGTGGGAAGACATGAACTGAACTAGAAGATGCATCATCTATACATATGAAAAGGAAATAGCCATCCAGAGATTATGAGAACTGCTGCAGAATGGTTACTTTCTATTCCAGTTCTATTATGGTTGCTGGAGGGCCTGATCTCATAAAACCAGCCTTGGCTGATCTCATAAAACAAAATCTATCAGAAAATACCTGTAAGATAGCCTAAAAAAACATCCCTGAGAAAGGCAATAGCCTTTCCTTATTATTACTAAGAAAATTATATGGATGTGTGTTGAGCTCAGAACTCTATTACAATTGCAGTCTGGAAAGAATAAAATATCAGTATTAGCTATAGGAATACAGACAATGCCACTAAATATTGTGTTTTTTCTATTCCTAGTTGCAGAAATCACTTGACTTAATTGGCAATTCACCACTGTATTCTAACATCAGCCAAAGTAACCTCTCCTCTGCTTTATCCTTGGTGTGTCCTTGCATTGCAAGGTGAATATCATTCTAGTGAATTGCTTTGGGAGATGCTTGTTGACTGAAATAAAACAGCAATTACTGTATGGGAAAGCTGTAGATTGGTATGGTATTTATCACACATAAAGATTTGGATTTGCTTGCTGGAAATATCCAAACTGCGGGATACGAAGTATTTAAATATAAGGATTGCATACCATGAATGGCATAAGTTACTTATTTAGTTAATTAATTAAATCAGTTTATATAGCTGCCTATTTCATGTGATTCTGGATAGCTCACAAATTAAATCAGCAAAGACAAACTTGTATAAATAAAACAAAATAATTAACCAGAAATATAAAAGGGAAGGAAAGTGCCAGCCTTCAGTTCACAGGCAATACAGCCATCTTGCAGGCTGCCATGGGATCCTCAGGCCTTATAGCACAACCATGTCTTCAGGGATTTCTAAATTTCAGTAAGATTGGGGCTAATTTAACCTCAGGAATCATGATGTTCCAGAGGGGGGGATGCATGGCAGAAAAGGCTCTTCTCCTGGGTCCTATCAGAAGGAACTCATTTGAGACAGGACTCGCAACAAGATCTGGTGGGATGAATAGATGTAGTCCCTCAAATAACCCAGCCCATTCCATGTAGGGCTTTATAAATCATAATCAGCACTTTGAATTGAACGTGGAAGATAACCAGCAACTAATGCAGCTTGCAGAGCAGATGGTTAGTGTGTGCTGATTTTGGATTTTGCCCAGGCCACCACATTCTGAACCAGCAGTTGCTTCTGGATGCTCTTCAAGGGCATCCCCATAAAGAGTGTGTTATAGTAATCCACCTGGGAGGTGACCAGAGAGTAGAGCCTTCCTGATAAGATTATTCTAATATGCTGTACATGAGGTTGCCCCATTTAAAAGAGAGATAGGCAAGAAACAAAATATGTTGGTTTCTTTATTTTGGACATTGATGCATGCATACCAAAAAAACCAAGAAATATAAAAGAAGATGAAGGTATTTATTAATGATATAAAAATAAATACAACACATCTCACCTCCCAGTGAAGGATTGTTTTCTCTAAGACAGGACATGCAACGGCATGAAGATATTAATGGGGACTGTCAATCACCAGAACTGATATTGCAGTTATTAACCTATACAGTAAATGCTTTCAGGATTTACTTTGTAATCATATCCAATCCAATAAACATGATCACAAGAGAAATCCTAGTTGGGCTAAAAAGATTATGCATTTCCAGTAAGAAAAACCATTTGCTTAAATTCTGTTTCTCTAACCAAAAGAAATGTTTCATTGTGTAAAAACATCTGGTCTTCTGCACAACTGAAATTTCTATGATTTACATGTGTATAAGGAGTGGGAGTGAAAAAAAACTGCTTTTCTGTTTCTAAATTAATGGTGCATGTCACCAGACCTACTTCCCTTACCTTGCTCCTTCTGAAGTTGCCTGCCTCCTTTGTCGTCTCCTTTACCGATTTAATCTGAAGGTCTCCAAGGTTCACTAAATTGTTTGTAACAGATGGACAAGCTATAAAAAGGAACAGTGTCAAGAAAAGACACACTGGAAAAAACTCTGTGTATATTTTTTTAAAAAGTATGTGTGAACAAACATTATTACACCAATTTTACTGACAAAAAATCCTGTAGGACCTAAACTTACAGGAATACAGCCAATTTGTTGGTGAAAAATAAAAAATGTAAATCTTATCGCTCAGCATAGGCATTAATAGATGTATTAAAAAAGTAGGTTAGAATAAAAATCACCCTAAGAGACAAATGTAAAACTGTCTACCAAATTGTAAACTAATACGTACCATAGCAGCAGTTTTGCCACAAGTATAAAAAAATAGCTCTGAATTGTTCCTATATTGCTAGAATCACATTGAGATTTGAGTACATGATCATACGTGTGGGTAGTATCAATAGAATGGAAAAAACAGTTTGCATATAAATCAGTTCCAATATTTAAAACTAACTTAGATTTTATAGCTGAAGTCACACTCTCATGTTACCAGGCTTTGGACTCAGCATATACTGTATACTTTACACGGGAATGAAGTAAAATGGAGGTCTTAAGCAAACAAGTGGCTACAGTCCAACATATCTGAAGAACCCTAAAAACTTCTATATATTTAGTACTTTATCTAATAATATCAGAGGAACACAATACAAAAAATAGCAAGAACTGGAGCTGGGTATCATTTTTATAAGCAGATGCTCAGTTGTCTGTACCATCTGTAGTTGTAAATTCCTTCTACCAACTCATCTCTTTCTATCAACTGGATCGTCTCAAAATTGCTTTAATTTCTCCTTTCTTCTTTTTAAATAAAAGACCTAGTATCTAAAACTATTACAAGATGACAAAATCTGTGGGACTTACAGTCCTCGTCTGCAAGAAGAAATGATTCAGGAGTTCTCTCTGGAAGTGGGGGAGTAGGGGGTGAAGAAGATCGGTTCCAGTGGAATTCTGTGATGGTACAAATTGTGGGGGAAAAGAATATATTTAAATTAGTTCACATTTAACAGTCCTAAGGCTCTGCGGTGGTTCATTTGTGGTTCTATCAACAGCATTAATCACAACCGTTTAACAAGATTCCAGTTATGCATTTAAAAGTCCTACACATGCTCTGGCTGGACTCACTCATTCTGCAGAGTCAAAGCATATTTTAATGCAATGAAGCATACCCCAAGATATTGTTTTATACAGAAGCTAACAATGTATGTACCTGATTAGCATAGTGTATAAGTAACCTGTAACAAAAACCTTCACAATATAGTTTATAATAAAGTAACACATGGTAGAAAGGATAGCCTGAGTAAAAACTGAGATGTACTAAGACCTAGTTTCAGTTATTATAATATAATGGTTGTGCATATTAATTAATAAAAATATTAGGAGAAAAGATACCTGATCTAGGCCTCTGTAACTTTCCACTCTGGAAATGAACAAAAAGAGAAAATGCTTAATTTTACCCCATCTTGGTAGAACTGTATTTAATTTTTATTGAGTATTTTGGTGTTTCCCAATGCAGCGCCTTACACATGAGCAGGCGGTGGGCAGATAAGGACAGAAATGTTTCAGGCAGTCATGCTCACTACAATTCAATCTGATAACGCTAAAAAGTGGTCCCTTCAAATTTCTTACTGAATTCCAGTTCTAGAAGTCCAAGTCTCAGACCATTTGGGAAAGAGGAATATGAAAGAACAACTGCTGGAATAATTTCTGGAAATTGCTCATCAAGTCTAGATTCCTGCTACCCCTTGCTTCACTCAATGGGTCCATAACCTGCTCTTTATCTCAATCCCTGGAATATAGATGCCATATCTATTGCAGTCCAGTTTGTCAAAGGAGTAGCCTTTATTCTTCAGAAGTCAGGAGTTTGGTAGCACAATGCTCCAGTTACCTTATTGGGTCTCCGTCTCACTGAGTCAACAGAAAGTCTCAGCTGAGATGTGCTGCTCCATTCCGTAGATATATTTGATTTGTTGTTTTCAGATGGTAGCTGGTGATCTGAAGCTGCTAACAAAGGCTTATCTGTAAATGATAAAAAACTAGGAATAAAAACTCACAGATTTTTTAAAAAACTTTCTAGATAGCAGAAATCTCCATGCAATAGAAAATAGCTGTATCTGGCGCCAAATGCCTATGCTGCATTTACCCAACTGCTGGAGCTCATTCTCTTCTCCAAGTACAATAAAAGATTCAGGGGTTCTCTCAGGCAGGGGCGGAGGAATATCTTCATCATGCTGGGGAAAACCTGCAGTTAAAAAAACCCCTGACAATTAGAGGGCTTCCTTTTTAGTAATTTCTGCCAGATCTGGCCAGCAGTATCATTAGATGGCATTAAATGATCATTAGATGGCATAAAAAAAAACATAGAAAATTCAAAGCCCTTGCTTTCCTCTAGTAGTTTTCTGAATTTTTCTAGAACAGATCTGATAATCTTATCTTATAAAAGCAATTGATTTCAATATTGATTTAATAAAACCAAATACCAAGTTCTAATCTAGTGCGCTGGTCCTCCATGGTTAACCTTGACAAGACAGTCATGTATTGTTCATGTTGTAGCATGGGTTTATAGAAGTTTGGTTATTAAAAAATATGGCACTATGCTGTTCTAAATCAGTGTTCTCTTCTGACTGCCCCTGGATCTTGAGAAGAGAGCTCTCTGCCCTTGTATTCTTTCAAATTAGACATGCCAGAAACTGAACACAGGGCTTTCTGCACACAAACTCTCCTTGAGCTACAGGTCCTCCCTTGCTTCCATTTTGTACTGCTTTTCATTGCTGCTATTTCTGAGGCACATTCAGTTAATATGATTATCATCTGATTTCATTCAATAGGTAAATCTATAAATCTATATTTAGATAGTATCTGCAAGCTACTAGCTAGCACTCTATATATGCTTTTACTTTGAACAGCAATCTTCATTGTCTCTAAAATGCCAAACACTTATTGGAGTCTATTCACATTTTCAAACATCTGAATTTGTTAGACATTATACAGTACTGTCAAAATAAAAAAGCAGTTAACCTGTACATTTTAATATATACATTTGTGACCCCTAGATGGCACTAGAGCTAATCGTTTGAAACAGAAAAATTTGCAGTCTTTTATTGCCCTGCATATGCATACTTCTTAAATATTAATCAAGGGAGAAATTGAATATGATTTTTCCATTTTCATTACTGATTATCATTAACCAATTCTCTTGGAATAATTTATCTCAACTCACTAAGTTCTGGGTATTAAAACATTCAGATGAAAGAGCTACCTACACAGTGTTCCAAATAGACATCTGCTGAAAAATTATTCCATTTTTTTCCACCTCAGAACTTTTTCATACACAAGGATTATAGGATCATTTCTTGGTTCTGTATGTATATCATCTGTTTTTTGCCATATGGAGCAAATGTGATGAAGGATTTCAATTCTTTGCTTCACTATTTTATTTCTGCAGAACATTGGGGGAAAAAATTCTTCTCTCTCTCTCTCAACGTTACAACGTTACAACTCAGTTTCCTGTTGTCATTCACTCAAAGGAAAAAATAGTAAAGACTTCAGCCAGTTTTGCCTGGTCTGCAGCCAACTGTCAACAGAAATTTCTCTGTATTGGCTTTTGTAACTTAGGCCATGAGAAACTATGTGTTGTGCTTGTTATTGTCTTTTTTTAATGAATAGTTGTTCTTTTTTATTTATTCCTTTACCTTATTCCTTTAATTATTTGCTAATTTATTATTAATTGATTCTGCAATAACGGCTATTTAAATAAAATACATTGCAGATTTTAGTCTGATATTCAGCTAAGGTTATTACAGCTTTACCAGCAAATGTGCCAGACCACCCAGATGAATTTTATATTTATTGTGGGGGGTTTTGTTGTTATTGTTAATAGAACCTAAAATTGACAATAAGCAGTTGCACAATACTGTATTTTGGCATCCAGAATTGATCATACCATAGTGGGACTGGACTAATGTAGGTACATGGATTCCATCATATGTAATATCTTTTATGGTTATATTTTATGTATGTATGAATTTTGCTCTAAACAAAAATAAAATATGTATATCTGTGTGATTTTACTCATTATGCTCAGCCATGTTACAAATCGTCAATATATACATTGAAGAAAAACACTCAAAGGCAGTGTAAATTTTCCCTAAAGAAAAACTATTCGTTTTCCACTTAGATTCCTAATATTTATACTTATTTAGTTATCAACATATCTCAGTTGGTAAGGTCCTTGTCCTATTTTCTAAATGCTTTGGATATAATCAGTCATGTATCATTCTGTGGGCTAGGAAGGGGTGATTATATGGTTATGTTCCTTCTTCCGAGGGTAGTTCCAGTCAGTAGTGAAAGGGTAAGAAAGATCGTGTCCTAAAGTGATTCTCTGTGGAATACCAAAAGGCTCTACTCTTCCACCCTCCCCTTCAACATCTACATGAAGCCTCTGGAAGAAGAGGGCACCCTCTGGCACAGGGTCGGGTATCATCTGCTTGCCACTTGACTAGGGAAGAATTCATTCAGTTAAATCTACTCTGTCAGTCATAAGTCTGGTAAGCTATATAAGCAAGACCTGTAACACTATCAAAGAGAGAGACCATTGCTCAGTAGACCAACACATTCCTTAGATGCAAAAGGTTTGGGATCTTCATGACCAGTTGTGGCTGAAAAAGCTACTGCTCACAAAATTGGAGAACTTGTGGCTGGGCTGACCTATGCTAAGATGTACTGTAATTTGGAAACTTGGACACTAAAATATCATAATTTACAGTTCAGATATTGGTGAAGTAAAACAGATGATACATTGCTGTACCATCATTCACAGACAATATATTGATGGACATCTCAATCCAGAGTCAAACAGAGGTGCTATCTTTGGAAACTGAGGTTCTGGAAGCTGTGAAGTTCTGGTGAGAAACAGACTCCTGCTTGAAGAAGACTTTTGCACAACTCCCTTATTATCTGCTACCTTTGAAGATAACCAGGAAGCTATAGCTGGTCTATAATGCAATGGGTCTAGTTAAGGATGCCTCCCAACTTGCCCAAATAACATAAGAACTGCAAGTTGTCAGTTGCAACTGGGTGTGATTCAAGATATAGATTGTCAACTTTAAAACCTATATGGAGAACCATTTTCTCCCAGCATTTTTGCCCAGCCAATAAGACCCAGTAGGGAGGGCTATCTGCATCCTCTGAAATCCCTGAGGAACCATGAGGATGGGTCTTTTCTATATCTGTTCTTTCTTTGGAACAGTGCTTCACCTGAAGTTCAGGTAAGTACCAAACCTGTCAGCATTCAGGAAAACTGCCAAAACACAGCTGTTCTAAAAAGTCTTTGGGGATTGATGCTATGATGAGTTGCTTTCCTGTAGCAAACAATTATTACTACTAAGACTTTTTCCCTTGGTATATTAATGGTAAGGAAAAATAATTTCCATTGATTTGGGGATTCTGTTACTTTTATTCTTTTGTAATTTTCTATTATTCTTTTAATTTATAAGATGCTCATAGCTTCTTGGAATTGAGCAGCATATAGAATTGCAGAAATGAAATAATGCTGCAACCTTGCATAAACTTACTGTGGCAGACTGCATCCAAAGGATTGGTATCCTGGGCTGGAGGGTTGAACAATGAATAGCTGGGCTCTGAGCTCTCCAAAGATTGGTCTGTAGAGACTACAGCAGAAGATGAAGAAACTGTTCTAGGGGGATTGAGAGCAGACTCAAGATGTGCTGGGGAGCATGGTTCTTCTGATGAGAGAGAAGAAAAATAAGGGTCTTCTGATGACCATATACAGTGCTGGTGGCACAAATTCTTGAGCTTATAGTGTGGGGCATTGTTTGTCAGTTTGTTTGAAAGGCTTGAGTCCAGTTGAAAGCCTTCACACTGGCCAGATCCTGAATCCATTTTTGCCAACGGCTGCAGTATTTTCTGTGATTGAAAAGGAGTAGATTTGGCCTGGGTAGGGTGCACTTTGGTATCTAAGCCCATTCCAGTTTTATCATCCATTTTCACAGTGAGAAGCGGATCAGTCAAAAAACAACAACTGAAGTCCAAACTGTGATGTTTGTGGAGTGGCTGTTTTGCCAGCCAAGAGTTCCATCCTGTGTTTCTGCTGGCAATAGGGTTCAATGCTCCAACAGAAAGTGCTGGCCTGACCAAAGAAGCACCATCTCTGTTTCTGTCAAGGATGTTTAAGCTTTGTGTAGCACAACCAGGACACCGAGCTTTCTCCTGATGCTCTTGTTCAGAACTGCAAGAAAAATTATGTAATTCTCAGAGCAAGATTTTCCAAAATGGGCAAGCTGCAGGAAAAGTTTTATGTTACATATTCTGAACTTCTGTTAATATTGCTGCCACTTCAATATATTTCCAGCATTTTACCACTACAATACTTAATTCTTTCTAATTTAAGGCTACTAAATGCCAACTTTTAGTTTTTAATATGACAAAAGGAAATTAAATGCATGATGAGCAATCATTTTAACTATACAGTATTTAGTTTTCATTAAATATAAATTTGAATTGCATTCAAATAACATTAACTTTTTGTCCGGGATTTGCCTTGATTCCATTTCTCTCTTTTTCTCCTAGATTCCTTACAATAAGATCCCTGATGTGTCTTTCAGAGTGCAAGTTCCCCCCTTCCTATAAGAAAATCCAGAACAAACCCCAACTAATTTAGAATCTTGCCTATCTCATTGCTCAAACAAATCCATTCAGCAAGTCCTAGGGTATTTCCACCTTTTTTTTTCAGAATTAGTTGATGTGTCTGGTCTCATGATTCCAGTGGATACCAAGTGTATTTACTGCTGGCTGATCTGTACCTGAATTGCAATGAAATTGGACTTCCCACTCGAAGCACTAATTCTGAAAAGGTTATGTGTGGTCCATTCTCTAATTGGTAGGAACTCCTTCTTCATACTGACTCTAGCTACTTTCTCTTCCCCTCGTCCTAGAGGTTAAGCCACAAGAATGTGTTTCTCAGCATATTGCTAATCTGCTTTTGAGGAACTGAGGACTGAAAACAGTGGCAGTCTGGGAATGTCCAAATAGATCAATATTCTCAAGATTTCATCTAGTAATCACAGCCAATAGCTATTGATATACATGCTGTTTATCCATTTCTCTAAGGAAACGTTACATAGTGGTGAACAATTGGGCCAGAATCAGTTTATTTACGCTGTAGTTAAGAAATAGTTATGAGTGCAAACATAGTAGTGCAAACATAAATGACTATGTTTATGTTCTGTTTTAGTGAGAGAGAACTGAAGAGAACTATGAGAGAACTGAGCTCCACAACTGAAACTCATGAGATTTATAGTGTAGAAGTTCCAATTGAATTCAGTGGAACTGACTTCAGGTAAATCTTTTTAGTACTAAATTCTCCAAAGTCCTTAATTCTATCCATATTTTGTGCAGCATTAAAGAATAATATCTATTTTTACCTGTTTGGTGGCTTTATACAAGACTTTTCCCTATGTGGATCCTGAGGTATATTGGCTTCAGGATGATTTATTCCAGTCTGCAAAAGGTACAAAAGTTCAGGTTATGACTCAAGACCCACTTCTTAGTCACAACTCTTGCTATACTTGCATACAATCCAATGGATTTGAATTATTATAGGCTAACATGACCCTTCAATATATTTAATTACTGTAAGTCATTGTCTAAAACTCATATGAGTAATTAAAAACTGTTACTCACCACTATAATAACAATATAATACTTTATGGAGAAAACCAGGAAACAAACAATTAGGAAAACCACACTACCAAAATGGAACAATGGCAGGACTGAAATCCAAGAGAGAAGGGGACAGGTGTCAGTCAATCTACATCCAAGCTGAAGTAAATAGGTTTTAAGTAATGAGAGGATTTTTCTCATCATGGGTGAAAATTCCACCTGCTCATCTACTTCCTATTTTAGTGTAATGCTTGACTGCTACTTCTTTGTCTTAAATAAAATTTGGTGCTTTCTTAAACTCATTTTGGGATGGCAATGTTCTAAGAATAGAGTTTCATTTAATCTTAGACTGCTTGTTATCACAGTTTAGACCACAAGTAGCTGCAAAAAGGAGTAGGAAGAATACAGACCTGAGCGCATGTGATATTGAGCTTGAAATACAGATAAGGACTTTGCAGCATTGTTCTGGAAAGACAGTCACATTAGCTTTCTTTATTTGCAATTAGAGCCAGCAGGAAAGCTTACCTCTATAATAACAGGATCAGAATGACTGGAGAATGCTTCAATCTGCCTTTTAAAGAGTTCGATCACTGCATCATAGACCAACTTATATTGACCCTGAAAAATAGCAGCCACGAATCATGTGGAAATATGTCACAACTGCCTATTCATTTCTCTACTTCACAAATCTAGGCTGTCTAATGTAGAAAAGTTTAGATACATTTATGAGTTCCAGCATCTGACCTTAGGGGCATTGATTATACTTCCCAAACTGAAGTTGGGGAATCCCTTTAACAAGTACTTATGATTGGGTGTTATGCTTGGATTTGGCAAGATAGAAGAGGAAATTGCAGTTCCTGCTCTGCTTCGTTTCCTGGCCAGTGGCTTATTTACAAGTAAAACATGAACAGAGAATGAGGATGAGGACATAAGTGCAAGCAACGGTGGCATATCATTCCGAGAAATGATTGGCATTTGAAGGGATATATACTCTTCAAGCAACCAGTCTGGCAAATGTCTTCATGGCACATTTTCAAAGATCATTTACATAACTTGTACTTTTCTCTCCCTTTTTCTGAAAGCATCAGCACCTGCTTCTTTGATGTAGCCCCAAGAGGCCACTAGTATTAAAAAAAATCATTTCTGGCAACCACAAGATTTTCTTACAGCACAGCAATATCTTTACAGGACAAATAAGCTTCTTCAGTTCTTTGAACTGAACATAGAAACATGATGTAAAATACTGTGTTTCCTTGAAAATAAGACCCAACCAGAAAATAAGCCCTACCCCCAAAATAAGCCCCAGCATTATGGTTGCCCTGGGGGGGAGCGGGTGTGTGGCCAGTTCAATGTTGCTCATGTCAGGGGTGGGGCTGGGAAGCCCAGGCGGGGCTGGGGCAGGATTCAGGGGTCTCTGGTGGAGGGGGTCAGGACCAAGGCAGGCGCCAGGGCCTGATCCACCAGAGCAGCCTTGCTGACCCTCTCAGGCTGCGTGGGGCAGCTCCAGGTCAAGGCTCGGGTGGGACAGGGAGTCCCAGCTGCCTCTTGAGGACAGGGGCTTGGCCTGCTAAATCTCACTTCTCTAAATCGGACAGAACTTCAGGACACAATGTACACCAGGCTGAAGAGAAGCCCTCCCGTAAGCCAATCACCAAACCGGGCAGAGCCCTTCAATAAGCCAAAAACCAACAGGCTGTGCTCCCTTCTTCTTTCCGAACGGAGCATGTTCTGCTGCTGAGAAAGTAAACGAGCAAAACTTTTGCAGTGCAGCAAACCTGCAGCATCAAGATGCCATGCATGGCAATTGAAACTCACCCAGCTGCTGCCTCAAAGCCATGTTTGTAGACCCTCTGCAAGAAAACAGTCCCAGAGAAGAACAAGCGATGAGAAAGAAAGCCTGCCCCTCGCAGGTGGTAGTTGAAGGAAGGGGGTGGGGTTAGGATTGCATGCTGGGAAGGCAGGGAGAGAACTGAATCACTGAGGCTTTGAGAGAGAAATGAAAAGAAGCGTGGGGAGTTTGGGCCGTGCTGAAGGAAAAGGGGAGCGATCCCTGAATTAGACCCGCTAATATTCTAGTCAAGGGTCAGCGTAAAATCTGAAACCACATTCACTGGTCACTTCAGACTAAATGGCTTTGGTGTATAACAGCATCTTCTACCTCATTTGTACCATGCAAAACTCCGTAGTTCCTGTCCCTCCCCCCCCCCATGCCTCTGCCTCCACCTGCTGCTTGGAAAACAAACAAAAAAATAAGACATTCCCTGAAAATAAGCCCTAATGGGTCTTTTTGAGCAAAAATTAATATAAGACCCGGACTTAATTTCAGGGAAATACAGTATTTTACAACACAAAATTAATAAAAACATTACTTATGCTTGGCATTTTATAAAGAAACCAAACTGAGCATACCTGAGTTTGCACCACCAAAGGTCTCTGTGTGCGCATTTCCTGAATCATATTAAAAATGCTGAAGTTCATTGGTAGAATCTTGAGAGAAAAAACAGAGAAGGCATTGCTCATGTGAAAAGCCCAACTATGCAATCTGTTCACTGAATGCTCATTGAAGAACTTGCACTGCAGGTTATGGTAAGGCTCACTAATAAGCCATCATTCCTGTCACAACTATATATCAATTTGCTGAAAAAAATCAATTTCTTCTGGAATAGCAGCCATATAGCAAATAGCATGAAAATGAAAATTATAATTTTAGGTAGTTCCTACTATGAACAGACAATATAGAAGCACTCACACTATCTCTTAGCAAGGTCCAGGTATAATCAATGGCACATATAACTCCTGTTCGTCCGCAACCCGCACTGAAAGACATGACAAATTGCTAAATGAATGATGACAATACTTTATTCTCACTGTAGGTTAATCAACTAATATTCAGACTTCTCTGAAATCCTTTAGTGTATTTTCAGATTTGAGTGAAAGTACCCAAATTACTAAAATTTAGTTTTTATATTTTATCACCAGCATCATCAAAACCTTTCCAGGTAAGAGAAGGTTTCAAGCCAGATCCTTACAATGAATGAATTTTATTTGTTTATTTTTATGAAATCCAGCTTGAGTGTTTTAAAGGCAAAGGATCACATAAATCTGCCAAACATCCATGGCTATACCAAAGATGGCATTTCATTGTAGGCCAATAAAGACACTACTTTGCATCTGAATTTGATATTCAAGTTAATTATTTTTTATTGGACCCTTGTGATCAGCTTCCAGCAACAATAGTGTCTGATGCTTCAGAGGAAAAATAGCATGGAAATCACATTTCAAACATGCAGTTGCACATAATAAACTCTTATGGAATTTAAATTGGTACAACATGAAATAACTTCTCTCTTGGAGATACAATATTGGGTCCCTATTGCTTCCATTGAGTTCTTTTAATCAATTTGCAGGAAGCTCAGGGCTTAATTTAAAAGACATATGAGCATTAAAAAAAAAAACCAACCCTGAACTGTCTCTAATAGTCAATAGATTATTTCTTCCTTCTCCTATCATGTGTGTTATGTATATTCATATTCAAAAAGAATTATAGAACAATTATGCTCTCTTGAACTTAAAAATGGTTTCTATTTTCAAGCAATTTTACCTGCAGTGTACACAGATAGGTACATCATTGTGTGCTTGGTAACAACGCATCTCATTTATAAATTCAAAAATAGAGTTGATTGAGGATGGAACGTCATGGTCTGGCCAATTTTTATAATGAAAATGGTAGACGCTTCTGATTTCCTAGAAAAGACACCCAAAACAAGGAATCTGTAGGAATTAATTTAACACAGGTGTTTCTCAATTAACATATCCTAAACCTTGAGGCAGAATACAAACTGAACTTATAGTGTAAAAGAAATACTAATGTGCATTTATACAAGATTGCTTAAATTCTTCTTATGCACCAGGGGAAAAAAATCCATCACCTTTATACAAGATTGTTTAAATCCATGACCTTTATACAAGATTGCAGGTAAGTACATGGTTTCTGCTGGGGTGTTATTGGTTTTTCTTATCTGGAAAGCACACCCTCTGAAGGGAATGCTGTATAGGAACCACAAAATATTCACAGAAATATATCAGAGAAAATGTGTGTTATACTTTCTCAGGCTCCCTGCAACTCAGCATATGTTCCTATTTCCTGAAGCATCCCACACTTACACTGTCATTCACTTTTACTTTCAACTTGCGAATCACATAGTCCTTTCTTTTTTCTTCCACCTCCTGAAGGGAAGCAAAACCAAGAAGAAATTTAAATGACATTTATTTCCACCAAGCAGAATTCAGAGTACGAATTCCAATAGAAAACACCATACTTACACAGATAATGAAGAAAGGGCCAAACTGCAATGGGGATTCACCCATATCAACCCAGTAACGTTCACATTTTTTCTGTTGGGAAGATACACAGGACAGTCTATCCATCTGTTCTCCAATATTTACTCAAGCCCACAACTGATTTTGTTTAGAAAAAGCAGATCTGACTGAGATTGCTACTTAGAGGTGATGGGGAAAGACATTGGGAGCGCCTATCGCAGAATAAGGTTGTATCTAAACCAGGGGTAGTCAACCTTGGCTCTTTTATGACTCGTGGACTTCAACTCCCAGAATTCCTGAGCCAGCTTAGCTGGCTCAGGAATTCTGGGAGTTGAAGTCCACGAGTCATAAAAGAGCCAAGGTTGACTACCCCTGATCTAAACTATAGTCTTGGCCAATTTTATTGTACTTTCTCTCAAAAGAAAACATGCGCACTGTTCTGAACAGACATGAGGAAAGATTTAAGATGGATCATGTAATGTGATCATAAAAGACTCAGAGTTAGCATTATCTACATATAATTACATGAAGAAAATTTCAGTTATGGAAATGCAGTATATACACTCTGCAGTTATTATAGGGACTGACTATAAGAAATGCCACATGGAATGAAGTCTGGGTGAGGAGCCAGCTCAGAAATCTATAGACATTACTGAACCAAATGTAATATGTTACCTTTTGACACAATACTTACCTTTCCCATTTCAAATTCCATGCAAGACATGACAATGATCTGGAGAGATTAAAAAGAAGTATGTGAATGCTATTGGGAAATAGGCACATATGCAATCATGCTGTTGTTTAAAAAGTTCCAAGCAAGATAATTTTAAGATGCAGCTGAAAATAGCATACTATTTGATATATAGCAAAAGATGCACACGTTATTTCCAATGCTGCAGTTCAAAAGCTGCCATTGTACTCAACTATCCTTTGAAGAAAACTGCAAGAAGATTCAGATGTAGGCAGAGATATATAAATAAAGAAAAAGAGTCCTTAACTTTGCATGTATTTGGAAAAGTCAAGACATGAAACTGAATTTAATTTAACTTAATTTTCCTAAGTCACTTGAATTAGTTTTATTAACATTTTATCAATTTTTTAATTTGGAGATTTTGAAGTATTTAGAAATGATGTATATTAACTCCACAATTTTACTGCAAAACTTTTCAGGTTGTTGACTTCAGCTTCCTTTCATTGCTGATAATCATCCATTATGTTTTTCAATCTATGTTACAGCCCAGAAGAAGAATAAATGCAGAATGTAAACATTCCAAGAAAAGCTAATATAAAAAGGATCACTCCACTGCTACATCTGTGCATGGATGCAATTAAGAAATGAAATATCCATGGTAGCCTAGCTAGAGTACAAATAATTGGAACACAGGCAACCAATATTACTAGGCAGCATTTCCACCAGATTGGTGGCTGGAGCTTTTTTCGGGTTCAGATATGAAATGATTTTGCAATCAGATATTAGACTCTAGTATTAAATTGGTTTAATACCTTCAGTGGTTATCATTCTTTCATTAAAAGGAGGTCATGCTGAATTAGGCCAATAGTGACAACCACAGAATGGTAAACCACTTGCACATCATCCCATGCTTTCTGAATGCAAACGCAAAACCTCACCTTAGAAGGAGGTTTTCTTAAAAACAACTATACATTAAGGAAATTATACAAGGTGTGATACAGATAATCTGACAATAAAACTGGATACATATCCAGATAAAATATGATATTTTAAAATCTAATAAACAATTAACAGATAGCATTGATCTACTTCTTACCAAGATTTTATATTCCCAAATCATCCTCCAAAAATCTACAACAGTTGTGGAAAGTGGACCCTGGGTAGCAATGTAGGTTCTTGGCTCATATACACCCTAAAAAGGAAATAAATGTAACATTGGCTTAGATAAATGCATTAAAAGGCTTTCAAATCTTAATCCACTTTAGAATTTAGAATTTTACAGTATTATTATTTACAGTTCTTAAATGAGTGGCCACACTAACTTTTTAAAGAACATTTAAAATAGGAAATTGTGTTGAATCAAAAAGTAATCTGTGAAAGTATTTTTCCAAGTAGTGCCATTTTAATAACAATCATCACCATCATGGTAATGACTTCAGTTCTGTTACAGTTTTCATCATCCTCAGATGGGTTGTGATAGAGGCTCTAGTCCAACATATCAACGAGACATTATATCAGATTAGGAAAAGCTGTGCTATAAAGCAGAATCCAGAATAATCCAGACAATCTAAAATTTAGAAAACTTTAGGATTTGGAGCAGAAATTATGTTATCCCCAAACTTTCCACTTCAGATTATACTTTCACATCTTCTCTGTTTGAGCCACAGCAGCAATTACAACATGATTACAGTTACTAAGGAAAGCAAATTTTCCAACAAGCTAATTCTTACATTAGTAAGGATTTTTTTTAATGAAGCAAAAGAATTGGGTCAGTGGGGTTTACTGATACCACTTGTATAACAACCATTCAGATTTTATTTATTTTGCTAAGAATCCAAATAATACAAACAATACGTTTTGAAAATATGGCTGGCAAGGGAGGTACCTAGCAATTTATTTAATTCTCCTTTTGCATGAAGCATGAGAGGACGGGGATTGTTTTTTGTTTCAGGAGCTGCAGTAACTTAAGACAGTCATTGATTGAATGGCATTTTTTGTATTCTAGTCTTGGTTATCTAGGAGAACCAAGCATATTAACATTTTGAAATCATAAAAGCTAGCGTTGGCTACAGGATGGCTTCAGACTGACAGTAGATACACTATTCTGTGGAATGTCTGCTGGAGATTAAGGAGAACATCTCTACTCAGCCATGATGTTCATGATCTCAGCCTAATAAAGGTAACAGGATTGTCACAATGATAAAATACATGAATTCATACAGCCTAGAAGAAACATAAAATATAAATGCAATCACAAAATAATGATATATTAAAATCTTGTGCTAATGGGAACAGAATCTCAAATGCTTGTTATTTGTACCTTAATAAAATTTGCATTGATATAATCAGAGTCTTTATCTGATGTGATAAAAGAGAGCTTCACTCTGGTATGGTCATCTGAAAGAGGAAAAAGGACAAAAGAATCAACTGTTTGCTGCCTTATGTAACAAAGAATCTATTAAATAGAAGAATGAAGTTACCTTTATCCAAATCCAATTGTACAAGCATTTCAAATATTTTTATTGCAGACATATAATTAGCTCATTTAGAAAATTAAAAGAAGCTCCCAATCATATTATCTGGCTGTGCCACAATTCAAGAAGCAATATAGCCAGTAATAGTACTTATTCACTGAAAGAACCTACAGTATCACTGGCCAAACATTTCAATTTCTTCTTTTTTGTGTATTAGCAAAATTTTACGCTTTTGGCTTCTTTAATGTATCCATTACTTCCCCAATAAAATTGAACATGAAAATAAATGTATCCAATGTATCCTGGTTCCAAATATGTTTATGCAAAGTGAAGATTTTTCTATTCTTGCATGGGATGGAAGATCAATCTTGGATCCTACAACTATAGCCTATAGAACCATGGTCCATATTTTTAATTGAAAGGGAAATAGCAGTGACACAATGATATCATTGGAGAGAGACCGTGGCTGTATTATTTGGCACATGTTCAAAACTTGTGGAGGGATTGTTGATAAGAAAGTAAGTAAGTACATAAAATAATCCCTAAATATTGAAAAGTCACACAGCTAAAAATATCAGTGTGATTTTAAATGTTAATCACATAAGTTGGGGTGGCTAATGGAAAAAAAAGAGAGGTAGGGACCATGGATCAGTACTCTGCCTTACTGGTACAATAGCAGTATATATTCTGTTTCCTTAAAGTTCAGAGTAGGCTATGTGGAAGTTGTGTGAGGAAGTAGGAGGAGTTTTTGATTACAAATTTTAAAAGTGGATTCATGATCTATGACTCATGAGAACAGTGTCTTGGAATGCTGGGTGGAAAACATTGTTCTGAGAAATATAAAAAATCATTCAGCAGTGGTATGGATATCATGGTGTGAATGTGGTCCATATCTGTGCTTATATTGCAACTGATATGTATGCAGGGGATGTCCAAGTTAAGAGATTACACATAGATTGACTTGGAACCAGAAATATGTTTAGCTCATGGAAAGAACACTTTCTATTTCGGCTTCCCGCAAGTAGAGATCTATCCAACTGAGTGCAATTCTCATTTCCTCTGCTTGCTTGTTTATTTTTTTAATTAAATTTATATCTAGGCCTTCATTTAAATCATGGTGGCATACATAATACCCCCTCCCATTTTGCCTCACAAATTTGGACTGAAAGAGATAGTTGTTGGCTTAAATTAATCGTTCAGTGAATTTCTATGGCTAAAGGTGCACTAAAATCTGAGTAGCCCAGCTCCAAGTCCTATACTACAACTACTACAACATGATGAAATATTCTCTAGATAATTTTAGCAAACAAACTGGGGAGGAGTTGACAAGAAAAATTCCTTCTATGGATTGCTTTAATTTATGAACCAATCTATTCACATTATATTATAGGTTACCAAGGAGTAATGGTATCCACAGGAGGGACTTCAAACAGCCAAGATGGCAGATATACTACCCACAAGTACAAAAGGGGTGAGATTTGCACTGCAATGCCATATCTATCACCTTGCCCTTTATGACTATCATCGTCCTTGCATGATTTCATCCTCCAAATGCCAATGATCTCATTTATATATAAACTGGAACAATAAAGACAGCATAACAATTGTGTTAATTTGTAGCTTACATGGTAAGATGTCTTTATACCGATTTTTGCTGCTATTTTCAGGTCTCTCAGACACATTTGTTGGGTAAATTTTCTCTGCTCTATAGGTCGCAGATTGCCGCTTCAGTTTCTGTGGTTAAATCATAAAGAATAATTATAGAAAACCTGACAACAATAATACAGATCTGCATTTTTCATTACTTCCTGACTGGCCTCTCTTGAGATAACCACAGTAAGAACTAAACAGCCTTCGTGGCTTTGCTGGGGGGCTCTTTGTCAGAATGGAAATTTTACATGCTGATCAAGTATCCTACATAGATCAGGCAAATGCATTTTTGATGTGGCTTTCTTGACAAATATGCATTTGTTGCATAGGTATGATGTGGTGGAAAACATTTAGCTCAGGTACACTGGAAAATATGAAAATCTTTCCTCTACACAATTGTGACTAAATGCCACTCATCACTGCGTTTTTCTGCATGCTGTAATATATAGTAAAGGCCATAGTGGCTGAGAATTCTGGAAATTGCCACCCAACACATGGAAAGTGCCATGTTGCCAGAGCTGGACTAGACCATACTATCTAGAAGGCAAACTGGATTTTGCAGATCAAATGGCCCAACCATGAGACTCTTCCAACTGATTCCACATATAATTTCAAATGTTCTTTGGATTTTGTTTTTTTATAGAAGAAACAAAGTCATAATCCTGACCTTATAAAAATGTGGCATATAAACTTTTTATAACATCAACATTTCTCTTTACAAAATTAAAAATATTTGTACGAACCTTCATTCTCAAGATTTATTTCTAATTTCAAACCATATACATTTTCCCTGTCATTCACAGAAGTTAGAGTGCTGTATTTTAGTAATAATTATATATTCACTCATTTCTGTATCTTTTTGTTACATCTTGTTTTATAACAATTGCTTTGTTCCCTTTCAAACCCCTTGCTCCTAGCTTCCTGAATTTCTAGCACTGACCATTTTTTCTCACAATATTATTAAAACAATTTGTTGATTTGGCTCTTTTCCATTAATTAAAACAAGAACAACAGTTCCTGAGTATACATAGCCCCCAAAGGCAATCAAACCAATTGAAGTCAAACCAATAAAATTTGGTGGCAAACTATTAATAAATAATAACCGCAAACGAACAGCAAAGTGTAGGAAAAACTTAAGACACCTTAAAAACACACACATCAAACATTTGTCCCAAGAAATCCTAGTTTTGTCTGTATATATAATATATCATATCCTCAGTTAGTTAGAGACAGAGAGAAAATACACCATGTAGCTTCTGAAAGATTTGTCTTCCCTGCACAAGGATCCCTAGAATGTCATATAGTTGTACAGATCCTTATATAGTTTTCATTACTGATTTTTTTCTTTTTTTTCTTTTACTGTTATTTGATTATGATTGTTTCTTTGATATTTTAATGGATTGGGAACTGCTCAGAACATAGATTATTACTATTATTTATTAAATTTGTTAGCTGCTCATCTCATTTCAAAGCAACAAAGATACTCATACATAAATAGAATTAAGAAAAGAACAGGAAAGACTGCCAGATTCACAATTTCAAATTAATGAATCTGGTGTGTGTGTGTGTGTGTGTGTGTGTGTGTGTGTGAGAGAGAGAGAGAGAGAGAGAGAGAGAGAGAGAGAGAGAGAGAGATCACAATTCACAGTTTAGTTCTTGCTCCCTGCATTTATATCCATAGATGTCTGTAGACCAGATTGATCAGGAAATGAAGAACTGACTATCACATTTTTCTTGCAGAGGAACTTTAACTGTAGACAAGACAAGCTGAGACAGATAGATGTAATGAGGAGCTCAAAGGGAGAAAATAGAAACCCAGATGAGTCAAAAGATAGTTCAGAGATAGTGCTTTGCTCAATCTGATGGGAACCACTGATTCAGAAATCTGGAAAAGTCTCAAAAGATCATTTGGCCCAATTCCTTGAGTGAGACAAAAGCCTTTAAACACAAACATTCCTAATAAATTAGTCAATACTTCTTTCAAATGAGTCACATCACAAAATTATGCTTGTAGCAAGAAGCTAGAGACACCCAAGCTTACTATTTGCTTTCAATTTTCCTACTTTTGGTGATTTTTTAAGAGACTTAACAGGACAAATCTCTGAAAAATTACAGGATAGGCAATGGTAGCAATAGGAATTGAATTACAGGAGGGCACAGGGAAGAAATCCTTTGCCACTGGCAAAAGTTTCCTTAACTGAGATTTTTAAAAACACGGCAGCATGATATGGCCAAAATTGGTACAAAATTTTATACATTTCTTCCTATGATTTAAAATCTGAATGGACATATTCATCTTCCAGTCTGGATTGCAGCAGTTTTGCACAGGATGGCGGGGTGGGGTGGGGTGTCATGTAGGTGGGAGGACATTGTCATGCACTGCACTCATGAAATAATGGCCCATATTGGTAACGGGGCAACATTGTTTGAGAAGTCTAATAAATTGGGAAAAAGATTTTCTGATGAATAACTTTCATCTTTTTTTAAAAAAATGTATAAAATGCCTGAGCTGCTAAAATGCCTGGCCCATACTGCTTTATACTATATGTTTTAATTGTATACATACACATTTAAAATGTAGCCTTTCAGCATCCTTAAAACAACTATTAAGAATCAGTTGATTCAAGGTATCAACCCTTTCTTGAACCAAGAGTTCCCATAAAACATTTTTCTTTCTGTATTCAAATTAGGGTTATTCCATATCGGTGTCCCATGTGATTATGGGTCAAAACTTAACTGCTTGTCTAGTAAGCCCAAATGCATCTAGCAGCTTTTAGAAGTGGGAAAGACAAGCCCTGTTTCCTTTACATTGAGCTATATTTGATGCCCGCTTTTGCAACACTTGCAATTAGATTGAAGAAGCTCATAAAAATTTAAAGGAGATAGTAGTGATCCCCGTAGAGTATCACAATGTAATTTAATATGAATAGAAATCAATCTGTTTGTAATAGCTCAGCTATGTATTGCAGATATCAAATTGTAATCCTATGTACAAAAGAGGATTAAAAGCTAAACTTTAAAAAAAACACTCATAAAATTTAATGTGCATCGCATTATAGACCACGTTTATCTGCTGGTTATACCAAAAAACATACATCAAGTTTATAATCAACAAGCAAATATTGTTAGTTGCCTGATCTCCCTTTTTCCCTTAGTATTTTGTTTCGTTTAATAAATAGAGGGGGCTGCACAATTTCATTATTTTCTGCAACTAATTGCAGCATCCCTGGAAAGAATAATAAAAAATATAACAGCATTTCCACTGGGTTTGGAACCAGGAACTTTCTGCACACTGAGAGAGTGTTCTAACTTTTGTGGCACTGAAATAATTGTGTAACCACATCAGTAAAAATTTGAAGGTGGTGTGCCTTCAAATATGTGCATTTTCAAGCTTTACCTTAATTTTTTTGTGTGTGTGTGTGTGTATAATTTTGTCTATGTATAAACATAGACATACCTATAAACATACAATCATATACATATAAAGTATATGCACATGCGCATGCATTGAATAAGATCCACTCACAGGAAGGAAAGCAATTGGCTATTATTTTCCAGGAGCAGAAAGGAAAAAGAGCAGAGCAGCAGCAGAATTGCCCAAGGAGAGATGTTCGGAGGTGAAATCTGAGGTGAATCCTTTCCAAGCTGTTCAGTCTGTTCAGTCTTAAGCTGGCTCAAATTTAAACTGCTATCATCACAGGACAGGGACAGCTTAAAAGTGCAGAGTGGATACAGCCTAAGGTGGGTTATTGGACTATATGATTTTAATTAAAGAAAGTTTGCTGATTTAAATCTTTCCAATTTTATTTCAACCAGATCTTCAAGTTACACTGTTGTTCTAACTGATACTGCAGTTATCACATGGGGTTTTTTTTCAGTGTCATAAGCACTTAAAACTTGGTGTTGCCTAGAATAAATTTCTTTCTCTGAGATACAATATGATATGGAGATAAAAATAGCTTTTATGCAAGGAGGTGGAAAAGGGAGAAGAATATTTATTGGACAGCATTTTAACGGACAGGATCCATTGCTATATCTTGAAAACCACTGCAGATATTTCTTTAGTGTCCTGGGCCCACCCACTTTTTTTCCCAGCTCTAGTGGCAGTGAACCATAACTAGGTGCAGCTGGACAGGAAAGGATTTTGCATATGGCCTTCTAAGCAAAATGTGAATGATTTCTTTTTCCACAGCCAGTTTGTTGTTATTATTTTACTTTATGTATAGCTAATGAACCATGCATACATTTGCTTTAAGGAAAATAAATGTTTTTATAGAGAGAAGTGGATGAAGAAAATCCAATCCCCCAATCTGCATGTATTCATTTAAAAAAATATTTTGATGGATGCATTTTCTAACAGAGATCTCCCCAACCAGAATGTCTTCCAGGTATGTTGAACCCATGGCCAGCTTTAGGTCATGGCTAAGGAGGCACTGGCCTAGGGTGCTGAATCATTCTAAAAATGCAAATATTTGTGTTGGCAGTGTTGGCACCATTAAACAATGTGTTCTACGGTGCCTCACACCTTTGAGTCAACACTAGTTCAAAGTCAACTCCCTGCCAGTCTAACTATTGCTTAGAGTTCTGGGTGACAAACATTCGTACATATAGAGATCATTTCATGCTGTAAAACATAATCCTAGCACAAATAAAAAAATTGATGAGAATGAAAGGGGTGAATAAATGAGAAACGATACTATCTGAACTCCCATAAAGGAGTGAAGATCTTCACAACTAAATCCTAGTTTTGAAGCACCAATAGACTATTAGAATATAAGCCTGTAAACATGTACTGTATCTAAGCAAAATATATATTTTTTTCAAATATTATACTGAATAAAATATATTAGGCTGCACTTAAACAGAATGATTTGATCACCATCATTCAGCTTTCTCTGTATTCAGGATGCCTGTGTATTTTTTTGTTTTTTTAATTTTAATCTCCCCAAGACAAAAGGATTCCACAGTATGTAGTACAAGTGCCACATATTAATTAATTAATTTCTGTTCTAAAATAGCACCTACTTCCTGTTTCAACTGCTTTTTAGCATAAAATAATGAGAATACAACTTGATGGGGAAACTGATTGTGTGAACAAACTGCCCATTCGGTGTTTTCTAACTGCAGTCATAAAAAGTGCTTCTCCCATATGGTTTAGAAAATGGCTTATATAAGTTTTCTCCCTCATCAATCACAGCTACCTGAAATTCCCAGCCAGTGTAGCCAGTGCTGGCTCAAATTCTAGGAATCACATCTCAATGACATTTTGGAGAAAACAACACACACATAAGTGGTTGAAGGAAGGTTTTTTGGAAGGTTATGGATATAGCAAATGACAATAAGAATGCAGTTTAGAAAAGATAATAATAATTCTGTGTTATCTAATTCTATATATTAACAAGTTGGTATTTGAAGCACATTGCCATCATTAGTACTGATCTGCAATGAGGTGGATAGTATACTTAAGAACATCAGTCTGTCTACACAAATTTTGCTCCTGTACATCCAACACAAACACACCAACTCTATTAGTGCTGACGGAGATTTTCCATTCCATCACAATTTTCAGAGACCAATGGAGGTGGCTACAAAATGACTCATTCAAATTTGAGATTTATTCACAGGCTCCACTTGGTAGGCAGTTTGTACATTCTTGGCAGACACTGGCTTACTCATTTTCAGAAGCTACCATTTTGCCTTTATTAAGGTTTCATGAACATTTACCTCCACTCTCAGCCTACTACCATGACACTTTTCCTTGCTGCGAAGGTTGGCTTTTCTAAAGAATATGTTTGAATATTAATATGTATCTGTACAGTAATTTAAAACCAATTAAAATTAAAAAATAGAGCCAGTTTGATGTAGTGGTTAAGATACCAGGCTAGACACAGGGAGACCGTGAATTCTAGTCCTGCCTTAGGGACAAAACCAACTGGGTGACTTTGGGCCAGACACTCTCTCTAGTCCTATGAAGGAGACAGTGGGAAACTACTTCTGAAAAACTTTGATTTGAAAACAGGATTGAATATAAGGAAAAAATTGAAAATATGAAACTGAACTATTTGTCCATTTCAAAGGGTATAATTAAAGGGAAAAAAGGAAGTAGAAAATGAAGATGGATATTAACAGAATTTTCTGCAATCAAAATTCTCCTCTGAAAATCCAAGTGAATCAAATATGTTACTCCCATTTTGGATAAAATGGGTCTAGTGTTTTCATTTGCAGTATCTCAGATTTCTCCTGACTAGTTCCAAATCCGGAAGCTTTGCAGGAAGTGATTCAAGGACAAACACATACATTCTGATGATTGCAAACAGATTCTGATGATTGCAAAAACTATTTTATTGAGAAATCTAGCAATCACCGAGAAGAAAATGCAAGCCATATTTATAATAAAAGCATGATTCAATTCTTGCACCTCTTTCTACTGCCAGTAGTTTATCTTGAGCTAACAATGTCTTGCTTTGGGATTGGGAATAATAATTGACATCTATCCTTTGTTGTTATAACAGGTCATTTAGTGGTTTCAGGCTGTTTGTTTCTGACCTTGCCATACCTGGTCAACACACAATAGATCAAGAACTATTTTTGACACTCAGTATCATCTCAGTGGCCTTAAAATATTTGAAATAATTTGGAGAAATGGATCATGTTCAGTTCTGATAGTAAAAACAAACACTTGGCCTTTAATTGTAAATTGTATTTTTTGCATGCCTGCTTGGAAATCCTCCATTGCTATATCCATCAATCACCAGTTTCATCCTGTAGCTAAAGTCAAATACTAGAAATAAACAACTGAACCAGAAGAAATGCAACAAAAATAAGCAAATAAAAATTAGTATTGTTTGAATAAATGAAAACAATTAATGACTGATTGATTTTATGCTGTTCAAACTGATATAGATTTCAAGGAAAACAATACCACCATTTTTTCCAGCATTCTGTGCTTATCAGGCTTGGTGGCATTGTAGGGTGGCAATGAAGAGCTTTTTCCACCAACACTTCTGGAGCATTTTCATAAAATACACTAAGAATATTTTAGTCATAAGTGAATCATCAGTGAACATTGATGATCCAATAGTACAACAACTAGTGCATTATTATAGCAGATGATATTCTACCCAGCTTTTTCAAGGTAGGAATTTTTACAGTCTCAAAGTCAGTTCCTCCAAGAGGCGGAGTGGGAAATATCTGTGCAGCATATTTAAGAAACAAGGAAAGCTGAACAAGCACCAGTGTTGCAAAAGACTGTAAAGACCTGAAGGCTAAAAACAACCACCTCCAGGCCTACAAGCTGCAGCAGGAAACCAACTAACAGAACTCGAAGATTGAGCCAATGGAAACAGGGCATGATGTCTCTGGAAGAGCATTGCAATTGACTAGTAACATTTATTGGCATCGTTGCTTTAGGCAATGGGCTTACCTGAATGAATATGACTAAAAAGGTAAGCAGTTCCAGTATATCTGGGGAGCATCAAATGTAGGAAAAGTTGTTTCAACCATGTAGAACGTTAATATGTATTTCACATTTATACACACAGACACATAGACATAGACACATACAAACATATTTATGAAAGCAAGAAGATAAAATATTGCCCTTCTTTGTACTTGGTAATTATAGATTTCTTAGTAGGCACTGAACACAGGGTGACAATACACAAAGATTCTTCTGTAGAGGTGGACTATTTAATACAGCTATTGGAAACTAGATGGGTTTGTTTGCAAAGACAAAATTCTAATTTCTAGCACTCTGATATCTATCAGTGCCATGCCCAGTTTCTGTTGCAAAAGTCTTTTTTTTATTTTAGCAGTAGAAAAGCAACTCTTCTTAAATTAATGAAAAGATATTTATATTTTCCAATCATTTCTTGCCAAGGAATCTGAGACATTCTAGGATATGCACTATCCACTGCCTCTCAAATTTAAGTATTAGCGTTCATACAAGCTGAAGTTATATTAGAGCTATTATTTACACGAGGACACAGTGATGAATATGCTATCCTTCAATAAATTACCCTTAGTGACCTACTAAAAACTGCCATGGACTCCTCAAAACATAATTTTCAATCTATAGTATACTGGAACACGGACAAGTTGTTATTAAATCGAAGGCCTCAATTCACAGTCATCATAGTCTTCAACTTCTTGTTATCTTTTTCCTATGTATGTTTTTTTAAATCTGACTTTGATAGTCTAAGACTACTTTGGTTTGGTTCTTGCTAGTCATCCTTCAAGACTATGCAAACATTATTTTTAAAATTATAATCTTCTCCTTGGGCTGGGGGTTGAGGTGGGAAGAGGTTGCTGTTGCTAAACCCTGGCCCTGCTTCTGGCTCTTCACCTATTTGAATTTGAATCAGAAGGAGGGGCAATTTCTTCCTTCTGAGTGGATGTATGGATCGCACTGAAAGAGAGGAAGTGAATAAAAGCAGCAAGGAGGCAAACGAATTCAGGAAGAGCCCTACAATGATAGCATTTAGTTGGAAATCTCCCTACAACCTTGAGTCAACAGTAACTGGGGCCCTCCCAGGTCACTTATAATATCAAGAATATACAGTATTTGCAGCGTTGACATGCTCTTTCTTGTCCTCCATATAGTGGAAAAATTATCTTTATTTATTGTTTGATTGATTGATTTCTATAGCTGCCCATCTCAACAAGTGACTCTCCCAACCATTTTGCAATCGAGCTAGCACTATTGTTCAGTTAATACAATCCCACGAAGAAAAACAGGAAGGATTGAGTTTGAACCTTAAAGTAATTTAAGGTTCAGGCAGTTCCCATTTGTCCCCTTCAATGCTATTTTAAATGCTTGCATAGCAAAAAAACAAAAGCAAAGAAAAAACACCTTACAAGCATGAATTAGCTAAACCAACAGGGTGGTCTTCTTAGAACACAGAATTAATTCTTCCTTTAAAATGAAACCATGCTCAGAAATATTGCTGCAGCTTGCTTACCAAATATTCGTTTGTGAACTCTTCTTTGTTGAGGTTTCTGTTTCTGATCCTTTCCAGGTTTTTCATGATAATTTCTCTTTGATCCATGCCGTACAACCAGATGAAGATGAACTGTCAGAAAGAAAGATGAACATGACAAATACATACTACAGTGGAAATAGCCACCAGTATGTGGAGGGTTCCTGTTGGAGTCTGGTTTGCTTAGTTCATCACAAGACAAAAAGGAAGTGACTATGTATGTAGCAGCCACAGTGAGGAACTTAAAAAAAAAACCTTGCCAGGCCCTAGTGCCTTCAACCATGAGAATGAAATAATATATTGTTTTACAAAATGAAAAAGCATCTTACTTTGGTTAAAATGAGCCTAAAAACTCACTGTTCATTTTTCTTTAAGATGAGCTTCTCACCCAACAGATCATTGAGATAGCATTCTTTCCATGAAGAGAAAAGGGGGGGGGATAGCAGCAAAGGTACCTCAGGTCCCTGATATACGCCTGGTAATGTAGACAGATTTCAGTATTAAATCCATCTTCTTCATTTATAAGTCTGATAAGTCTGAAATACTTTTGTGCTGATAAGCAGCTATCTCAGATTTTAAGAGCATTCTTTGTTCATATATCCACTTTTCTCCTCCCACCAGAAAGAGATGGCGTAGCTTTTCAAATATATTAGTCACGCCTTAGCTCTAAACTTTGCAGAAAATATTCCAAAATATTCAGACATTGCTGCCCTTTCACATGACCTAGACTGAACTTTCCAGAGAACTTCAGCAGCAGACATTTTTATGTCCAAATTTTAAAGTTACCCAGGGATTATTTTAAATTGACTAGACAGTTCCTGGAATGCAGACTATCAGAGTGATTTTTGTTATCATCCA